TGAATATCACATTTTAACACTCTTCCAATTTTATTCCACAAAGGTTTAACCTTACGGCATTCAAATATCATGTGCTTCATGTTGTGGAATTTATTACATATTAAACAATTCTTCGAGACTTTGTTATTCCATTTTGATACGAGAGATCCACATGCCAATAAGTTGTTTAAAAGTTTAAAATTAAACTCTGAAAAATATGTATAGGTCATATTTATTAATTTTTGATCATATATATTTTTCCAAAGATGTTGTTCTATAATATTAAAACAAGCATTCCAGTGAGTTTCTTGAACATTTCTTTCAAATTTTAGATTTCGCAGGATGTTGTAGAAAAATTTTGCTTTTTTACCGTCTAAATCAACAAAATGGTTTTCTATTAAAAATTTAGTTCTATCCCTTATATTGATATAAGGTAAAATATTTTTATCAATATTTGAACAAACACTCATGATGGTTCTTTTGATAATATATAACTCTATCATCCAGTTCTTTTTTCTTTGCAATGCTTGAATAAAAGTTTGGCTACTTTTAAAAGAGCCATTTGGATTAAAGAAATCTCCTACGTAAACAAAACCAGACTGAATCCAGTTTTTATAAAATAAAACACTTCTTCCATTTAAAAATCGTTTGTTCAACCATAACACTTCCCTGAATATATCGTCATTTTTCATTTTGTCATTTCTTACATAAGTTTTACATGTGTTAAATGAGCAAAGTATTTCCTTATAAAAAGGAGTAAATATGTTCAGATCATTTATTGATTGTTTATCAAAATTACAGTTCAAAAGTGTTTCTACTTTAAGACCAGTTTTTTTATTAAGTGTGATGGAAATAATCTCCATGATGTTTTGCTTGTTAATAATCTACTTATCCACCCAGACTGCAGGCTTTGTATTTTAAGTTTAACATCTACAACATTTAACCCCCCGTCTTCTATTGCTCCAATTACTGACTTTCTTTTTACCTTATCCTTACCATTCCAAAGAAAATCAAAAAACATTTTTTCTATTTGTTTTATAATTGACTCGTCAATTTCCATGACTGTAAAATTGTATACAAGCTTTGATATTGCAAGAGAATTTATGATTTGAGATTTTCCAAAATATGTTAATTGTCTTGTTTTCCAGGTTTGTAATATTTTTTTAAGATCTCTTAGTTTTGATTCCCAGCTAACAGATTGACACTTTTGTTTATCCCCAATATATATTCCAAGGCATTTAATGGGTTTACTATTAAATAGTATTTCTTCAATGTGATCATCTTTGGAATTTTTATAAGAACCTAATTTTAATCCTTCAGTTTTATTGATGTTTAATTTAAGACCACTTACTCTTGAGAATTTTTCTATTTTCTGTAATGCAAACTTTAGGGAGTCATTATTTGATAAAATTAAAGTTGTATCATCTGCATGTTGTACAATTTTGATATTTTTATTCTCTATTTCTATACCATTTATTCTTTCATCATTTTTAATTGAGACTGCCATTACTTCTGTACAGAGAATAAATAGTAACGCAGATATTGGACATCCCTGCCGTATTCCCCTATACATGTGAAAGCTTTCAGAAAACCATCCATTATTTTTTATTTTTATGACAGGGTCATTATACAAAATTTTTATCCATCTTTTGAAATTGTTTCCAAAGTTAAATTTTTCTAGTGTTTTGAACATGAAATTCCAATTGATAGAATCAAAAGCCTTTTTGAAATCCAAGCACACTAATAAGCCTGGTATATCTTCAATTTCACTATATTCTATAATGTCAAGAAGTAGTCTAGCATTATATCCTATGAATCGCCCAGGAATATAAGCGGACTGGTCAATATTTACTAATTTTTTAATCACTTTTTGCAATCTTCTTGCCAAGACAAAAGCTAATATTTTGTAATCATAATTAGATAAACTGATTGGTCTATAATTTTTCAAAAAGCATTTGTCATCTTTTTTGTACAATAGTGTCAATACAGATAATCTCATAGATTCAGTCATCTCTCCCTTTTCAAAAATCTCTTGCAAAACTAAAAAATAAATTTCTTTTAGCTCATCCCAAAAACATTGGTAAAATTCTGGAATAAGGCCATCTATCCCTGGACTTTTGTTCTTTTTCAAATTTTTAACTGCAAAATCAATTTCTGATTGTAAAAGTTCATTTTCACAGACATTTTTCTCTGTTTCTGTTAGAATGTGATCCAGATTTATATTTTGTAAGAAAGCATCTATATCTTGATTTGGTATGTTATCCGATGAGTATAGTTTCTGGTAGAAAGATTTTGCTTGATGTAAGATATCGTCAGTTTTAAAAAAAGTCCCATTTTCAGTACAAATCTTATTAATAATATTTGAGGTTTGTCTTTTTTTCTCGAGAGTCAAAAAGTACTTTGAACTTTTTTCACCGTATTCAACCCATTTTGCCCTTGACCGAATTTGATATCCCTTTGCCTTTTTTTCATATATATGATCTAATTTTGATTCAAAAGTTGCTTTTTTATTTCTCAATGTATTTGAAATTTCGATGTTATTACACCTTTCAATAAAAGTGTTTATGTTGTCAATTTTTTCTTGCAAAAGTTTGCACTCATTTTTTTCATTCCTCGACCTTTGTACAGAGAATCTAATTGATGTCTCTTTTATTTTGGCTTTCAAAATTTCCCAAAAAACCCGTTTTGACTCAATTTTTTCAAATTTTCTCTTCACATTTTGAATACATTCAATTATTTTGTGTTTGTACTCATTATCATTCAAAAGACTGCCATTGAGCTTCCAATATCCCTTTCCCTTAACATTTTTACTTATCTTGAAATCACAAACAACTGCTCTATGATCTCTATTTAATGCTTGAAGGATATATGATTTAATAATATCAGAGGCGCTATTTTTTGATTTAAAAATGTAGTCAAGTCTACTTTTGCACTTATTAATCTTATCATAGTATGTAAAACCAGGCTTTTTAACTTTTGGTGATGTCCAGACATCTATTATATCTAGACTATTTATCATAC